TAGTGCAACAATTCAACTGCTTCATTGATTTGGGCCATAAAAGCTTAGTATTTACAGCTGTTCTACATAGTAAAAAATTTACCGAATGGTTATTTTGCAGCTTCGATGAGTTTTCGATTTTGCTAATACGAATTACGTAATATCTTGTTAATAGTGATAATGTATATCGATATCACTATTTTATTTTTGCGTTTCAGATTCAGTAGTTACGTACGTACTTCAAATGAAACTAGGGTGAATATCTAATACCGGTATGTAAGGTCATACAGTAAATTTATAGGGTTACTGGTAAGTTGCTGTGTGACAGGTCTTTAGATCTCACTATGCAAGGTACATGCGCGTTATTTTAAAATATTTAGCACTGAAATCAGCTCTTATTTCGAAATAATGCACATGCGCGTACTCAAAATAACGCGCAGGGGAGCGTTATTTCGCTTATACGGTATAAAAAAATAAGGGAATAAAATAGTAATAATAATAAAAAAATAATCAGGAGCCGGACCCCTCACAACGTTCATAGAGTGAATGAAAAGATAACTACACAGAGTTTGATCATCATTTGAATTTTAATGCAGTACCATTATGACTCAGCTTACTCATTTTGAGATTCGGGAACAGGACCAAGGAAGAATGAAACAAATGTACAGAAGATTAATGCACCCACAGACACCCACAAACAAGCATCCAATTCAACATAATAATATAATACACCACCCACAATTAATCCAATTAATCTTCCAAAAGCATTTGCCATATAATAAAATCCTACATTCATGGCGACTTTATCTCTATGACAATAAGCTAATATGAGAAATGAATGAATTGAAGAATTTATAGCAAAAATAAAAGCAAAAATGAACAATCCTGTTATCAATATTATCATTAAAAGTGTGAAATGTGTTTCAAGTGTAATAAATTTTAGGAATGATGCTGTAAATATAGTTATTAAGAATAATAGGATTGTGAACGGTACTAATAAACGTCCACTTTTTACGGGATATATTCCAAGTGGTTTTAGAATCAACTGAGGTGTGCTGGATTGTATTGTTCCATAAAATATTATCCAACCAGCAAGGAGTGCGCCAGTGCCAAGATATGACCTATGATTAAATCATGCAAAAATTACCGATTTTGTACGTATGTACATAGAATGCCATATAAACGTTTCTTACCATCCAATTGGTCCTCAGATATAGAGGCAAAGGTACCTAAATAAAAATTATAAATTTTCTGATATCCATTATAACACTCATTAAATCGTAATTAGTTACCTCAAACCAAAGATCACGTGAACAAAATAAAAACATTCTGGCAATCAACAGAATATTTACATCTCTTCCCTAAATTGAATAATAACAGAGTTAAATAAGAAAATATCTGTGTGTATGTACATAGTGATAATACCTTATCAAAAATTTCTTTAAACGTCAGTTTTTTCTTCGATTTGCTTACAGCCAAATCATAATCAACATAAATCAAAGCGAAAGGAATAATTATCAAATTCATAGTCAACAGTATCAGCAATGCAGGAATATAACCAGTATATAGTAATAAAAGAGCACCCCAAAAGAAACCAGCACCTTTTACAGAATTTTTTGCACCTGTAATCCAGGCTACCAATTTGAATAATAAAGTTTGATGAAGACTGTCATCCTTTGTCACTAATTTTGCTACAGATTTACCACTTAACTTGACCAAATCTTTCGCTATTCCGCTAAATCCTTGAGAAATAGTGACATATATTGTGATTGTTAGTGAATCTCACGAGCTCCAGTATCTTTGAAGACCGCATAGCATTGTTATTCCGATAATCTGAACAAAAAGACCAGAAACAAGGCAGACTCGAATACCTAAACGTGATCCTATAATACCACCTGTAAGATTTATAATGACTCCAAAAAATTCGTATAATGTAAACATTATAGATATTTGCAATGCCTATATTTTTAATGCCATGTAATTTTTTTTAAAATTTAGCACTGATAAATAAGAAAACAGAAATGAACATTATTAAAAAATTTTTAAATACACTGAAATGTCGATCATATAGTTCCAGAAACACAATCATTCGAAGGCCAGAATCTGTAAGTGTGAAAAATATATATCCAAACGAAATTACATAAAAATTTCTCATAACCGCCACATTGCTACTTTCTTTTCTCAATTCTGAAGTATTAGAATTCTCTTTAATGTTTATTTTGTGTGGTTCATTTTGTAACGAAGTCGATATTATGTTAGTTTCGCAACTCGTTGATTCAAGCTGTATTTCGGTATTTTCTGACATTTTGTGAAAATTCTTTCATAAATCACTAGAGTTGATGTTTATCAAAATAATAATAATAATAATAATAATAATTTATATATTTGTGCTTCCAGGAGAAAGCCTATAAATTATCACCTTTCGAGACTTAACACCAGTCACTACAAAAGTATCAGAAAATTTGCCTTTAATAGCAAATTAGAATTCTTAATAACTAAAACAAACCTCTATTGTGCTGCTGTCATATTATGCGTATTATGCAACATACGTACCGTACAGTGTAGACAAACGAAATATATAATCGGTAACCGTATGTACTTTATAAAACCTTTTAAATTTAAATATCATTTATTATTACTATCTTTAGGCATTATTGATTGTTACAACCGAGTAACGAATCGACATCAATTTGAATTTTGGAATTAATAATTAATTTCTGGAATGCGATTGGCTATCTGAATTAAAAATTACCGTACAACATAGTGCTTTGAACCGTGATCCGGGTGGACTGCTGGGGTTTCCCAGCCAATCGCTGATGTTTGTTTACATCGTGTATCAATAACATGCATGCACATACGTACGGGGTGCCTGCCGCAATTAATCTAACCAAGTTAGCGGTCAGATGTCTTCAAAGATACGCTAATAACGAATAAAGTTTAGTGATCATACAGAAATTTAAACCTTATCATATTCGGTCAGATGACTACTGATTAATAAAAAACCGAAATGTTATTATAGTGGCAAAGGTACGTACCTATGTTAAATCTTTATTTATTGTACAATAATATCTTGAACATTTATTTGATGTTTTCTTTTTGTTGCAAGGATGTTAATACTTTCCTGTCTTCTATGGATAGTTCATTAGCTCAGGTTGTTTTTCCAAAATTTTCGACATTTATAAAACCTTTTTTTAAAATCAAGTTTATAAAAGATTTCCTATCTGATATAACATTAAAATTTGATAGTAAGATTAGAATTATTGAATGAATAATTAATTCTGTAGTCCGACTAGCTATCTAGATTAGGGATGGGCAATGTAATAATTTATGTAATCGATAAGTAAAATTTGACCCTTACGTATTTTTACAAAATATTATATATTATTACATAATTTAAGAGTCATGTCGATTACAAAATAAGACATGTATGTTGATATATAAGGCTAATTTATAAGTTTTGTTAATTGTTTATTTTAACGCTAAAATATACATACCTATATACAATGTCAAATTGGCCTTTACCACATCCACAAATTCGACATTTGCTTCGTGAACTTCCAATTGGTTCTATCGGTCATCCACTAGGCCCTCTTTGGCAGGCATTTTATCCCATTAAAACTGACAAAAGGCTTAAAGCCAAATGTATTTTTTGTAATCCCGCTAAACCTATATCTGGCTCTGCACAAATAATGGGCTCACATATTAAAAAATATACAGATGTTCCTTCAGAAGTTCGAGATTATCTTATTAATGTTCAAAATTATCAGCAACAAAATGATTCATGAGATTCACAATCTGAAATATCCACCACGCCTTCTATATCGATTTCAAATTGTGGTGGAAGTAATCAACAGTTACCATATGATATAAATAAATCCAACCAATTATTGTTAGAAGGAATAATTGAAGGTGGCGCACCTCTTTCTCTTGTAGATGTGAAAAAATTTAAGGAGTTTATTTACTCTATAAATAATTTATATCATGTTCCGTCAAGAAGAAAGCTCTCATATAATGTTCTTGATGAAGTTCATATGAATATTCAAATATTTATTAATAAATTTCTATATAAATCTTTATGGATTACTATTGCAACTGATGGTTGGACAAACATTCGTCAAGACTATCTTGTAAATTTTATGGCTATTGGTAAAGATCGACGGTCAGAACTTGTTAAAGTTATAGATACACAGGGTAAAAGTCAAACATCAAAAGTGATTTTTGAAGATTTAGAGAATG